GCGCCAGGCAGCCCGGGGGGCGCAGGGAGGCGACTCCCCCTCCCCAAATAACTGCCCCGTGCCGGGGCGGCCCCGCGGCACCCCCAGGGGCCGGGGGGGTGCCCAGCTCCGGCCCCTTCCTCGTCCTCGTGAGGACGTTCCCCGGCCGGACGGGAGGCATTATTGCTTGTAAAAAACCGGAGAGAGGGGGAGAGTGTATCTGCTACACAGCTCTGCCGTGAGGTAAGGACCAGGCTTCAGCTGGGTTTGGGGGTTTATTAGCGAAGTCCCTCCTCGCTGACCTCGGGGCCATCGCTCTGCTCCACCTCTGCGTCCCGACCCCCTGGGCACCCCCGGCCCAGGCCCTCCGCTGCCACCCGGCTCCTCGCTCCTGGGAGCGAGGGGGCTCGGCCACCCCACGCTACCGGACCCCCGCGGTGGGGGGGGTATGGCCAGGGGACCCCATGCGCCCTCCTGGCCTTCCCGTGCCGGGGCCACCCTTCCCATGGCGCCCCGGGCACCGGGCCGCTCCCCACGCTGGCAGCAGAAGGGGATGGAGCCCCGAGACCCGCTGCGGGCCGAGCCCCCCTGCACCGGGGTCTCTCCCCCTCACGCCGGGCCTAGACAGGGCTGTGGTCGGGGGGGGCATCGCTGGCCGGGGGGCCGCCTCCCCGGGCTCCTCCACGATCACCTGGATCTCGGGGTCGGGCAGCGCCGGGGCAGGGGGGACCCCGTCGGCCGCCTCCGCCGCCTCCTCGTCGCCGGCGCTAATGATGCGGGGCAGGGGGCTGTGGAAGCGGGCGTCCAGGGGGTAGTTAGCGCTGTCCCCGCGGCGCAGGGGCGTGCGGTGCCGCTCCAGCGCGGGGTAGCGCACGCCGGGGTCGCTGTACTGCTTGGCGTGCTGCCACTGCTTGCGGAGGTGGGTGCGGGAGCGGTGCTTCCCCCGCAGCGGCGACTCGTCGAACTGGGGGTCGTGGCGCACGAAGGCGTTGAACAGGGCGTCCGTCTTCTCGTCGATGCTGTAGTCCCGCCGGGGCAGCGCGTCCCGCCCCGGGAACATCTGCCCGTACGGGGACCAGGCCAGGGGGCTGTGGGGACGGGGGGGTCCCCCACCCGCTGCACCCCGGACCGTGCTCCCCTCCTCCTCCTCCTCCTCCTCTTCCTCTTCTTCCTCCTCCTCCTCCGGCTCCCGGCCCTCGAAGCTCTCGAAGATGGTGCCTTTCCGTCCCGCGCTGGTGAAGCAAATGCGCTTCTCGGAGGCCGTCTGATCCTTGGGGGGCCCCTCCTCGCCCCCCCGGCTGGGCGCCTCGATGGAGGCGTAGCCGCTGTCCATCTGCAGCAGCTTGCGCGTGCCGGGCTCCGACTCCTCCGGCTTGGGCCGACCCCAGAGCTTCTCCTCGGGGCCTTCAGCCTCGTCCAGGGAGGAGGAGGGGCAAGGGGGCATGCCGCCGGCAGAGGAGATGCTGTCCCCGCCGTCACTGCGCACCGAGTCCTGGTCGTTGCTCCGCTCGGAGGAGGCGTACAGCTCCAGCGAGGCGCGCAGGCTCCAGATGTCGTGGTAGGCGCTGGGCTGCTCCGGGACGCTCGCCTCGCCGGGGCTGCCCGCGCCCCCCTCGCCCGGCTCTAGCCTGCGGGCACCGCCCCGGCGTCAAGGCCGAGCAGCGGGCCAGGGGGGCGCCCGCCC